ACACACACACACACACACACACACGCATATATATATATATATATATACACACACACACGTTTACTTAGCTAAGTGGTGACATTCCATAGGCGTAATGGTTTTTATACTGTACAAAACTATTCTATTGCCCTATACCTTAACCTACCCCTCACAGAAAACTTTCTGCATTTTTACAATTTAAAAAAAAACTTTGTTTACTTTTTACTTTATTTTTTTTTCCGTATGAGTATGTCCCAAATGGAGGTTTTTGCCGATTTTGTCAGGTTTTGCTCACTTTTTGGTACAAATTTGTCCCCAAAATATAGTTAAGTAGGTACACACACACACACACACACACACATGATTCCACCCAATCAGCTTATCTTTGTAACTGAACATCTACCTGGGTGAGACTTTGATATATTTTCCCCACACATCTTCAGATAATCTCACCCCAGTAAAAAAAAAACATGAGAATGTGAAGGGCAGAGCTGACGCTGGGAGAGAAAGGGCCCTGCTTTGACCGTACTAATAAAGGGCTGGTATGTAATTGAGCAGAACTGGAGGGAGGCTGCGTTTGATAGTGTTAACACTACGCAGGGACAGTTAAACAGCTGACGGTGAGCACTAGATATAGCTCTTTCTTATAACTAGCTCTGTATTATAACTTTCTTATAACTTCATCTCTCCTGTCTCCCATTCTTGGAAATAGCTGGTTTTTATGCACCAACCAGGTTGTATACACGATCAATTCTCAAACCCATTTAGGAAAACAAAATAATATAAGCCAAATGTTTTGGGAGTTTGCCACTCTTGTTGATGGAAACAGTAGGGAGGGGGCGGGAAAATGGAACAGTGATAAGATTCAAACTGTGTCCACTACACAAGCTACACATGCACTAACGTCTAGGCCATTCTATTATGCATTTACATTTACCATGGTAACCACAGTATCCTTAAAAATACCAAAGAATTATAAGATCATGTGGGTTGTACTTTAAAAGAGTATGTGACTAACTTGTTTTTGATTACAATATTAACCTACCAACCCAATCTCATGAGAAGCTGTGGGAATTCACACAAAGATTCGGAAGAATTCACACACACACACACACACACACACACGTTTGGGGACTAAATGGGGACATTACATAGACTTCTATTGTTTTTATATACAGATATTTATACACTTTTTAACCTAAATCCACCCCTAACCCTAACCCTACCCCACAGAAAACTTTCTGCATTTTTACAATTTAAAAAAAAACTTTGTTTACTTTATTTTTATACCAGTTTTACAAATGAGTATGTCCCAAATGGAGGTTTTTGCCGATTTTGTCAGGTTTTGCTCACTTTTTGGTACAAATTTGTCCCCAAAATATAGTTAAGTAGGTACACACACACACACACACACAGACAGACAAATAATGCAAACTTAACCCAACCTTTAAACCTAATTGTAATAATAAAAAAACCTATAAAAACTCTAAAGAAGATCCATGTTGTAAGATTTCACCATCTCTTATAAATTATTAAGAGTTGTCATGAAAGTGTGACATGATTTGTCATCAGTTTCCTCTGGAATTTTTAATGTGTTTTTAGAATAGCACTTTATCAGCAGCATTTTCAGCAGTCATTAGCAGTCTTTTTTTTTTTTTAATGTGCATGCCTTTGTGTAATTTATGTCGTAGAACAAAAAGTGAAAGTTAGTTTAGACCTTATTTCACAAACCAAAATCTATTATTCCAAAAACTCCTGTGGGAACCCATGGATTAAATAAAATAAAATACAAATGGTTCTACATGGGATGTACTTCAAAAAGTGTTTTTTAATGAAAGAGATGGCTTTTATTGTACAAACCATGGTAATTTAATTATGGTAAACTTTTGTAATGGATCTGCATAGACATTATGTGGAAAGTTACTCACTTTGTACGAAGTGAGGAGGATTGTCATTGACATCCGTCAGTCGTACGGTAACTGTTGTCGTTCCTGACAAACCGCCAAGATGGCCACCCATGTCTTTAGCTAGCAGGACCACTAGATACTGATCCTGCACTTCTCTATCTAGATCTGGAACTGCAGTACGCAGGATGCCTGAGGGAGAAAGAGAGACAAAGAGAGAAGCACATCACAAATTCAATCATCTCCTTGAATCAAATCATTTCCATGTGTTCTCTGACCACAAACTTGTAGAAACGTATCCCAGCGGACAAGGTCATCTGCGAGAAACTCCTACCATAGGAAAACAGTCTACTGTACAACAGAGGTTTATTAAAATGTCACAAGGAAATTTAACTGTGGATACATGCTGTGGATAGGAAGAGACCTTTTAGAATGCTATGGCTCAGAATGCTAATTCTCGCTAATGAGTAAAAAAGAATGCCATGCAATGCATATAGGACAGAATTAGGTTAATATCCTTGATTAGCATTCACAAACCTCCAGGAGAAAAAGCCCTCTCATTCATATTAGTGTGGGGTCCACAAATGTCAACAAAATTAATTAGGTTTCATTAGATGGCCAAATGTAATCAAAACATGAAGGAAGTCCATTATCCACACAGACAGAGACACAATGCACTTCAACACAAACAGCAAGCAGTAAAATTCATCTTTCACTTTCTCACTCCTTCTCCCTGCCTCATTCTTTCTAGCCTGTCATATACACAAATACCCATCATTCTACTCGCAACCCTTACACTCACACATAGTGATTGGCCACACAGTCCCACTGTGTGTAGAATCGCACTGTGCTCACTTCACTTCTGCCAATTCCACTCTACAGCACAAAGAAGCAGGAGTGATTTTTCAAATGACTACAGCCCCCCTGTAACCCTGAATAAAAGCCTCTCGCAAGCCTCCGGGTCACAAACCAGACCCTCCGACTGGCACAGAGGCAGAACGCAGAGGCCGGGCCGTTGTGTCATTTAAGCTTGCCATTTAAAGGAAAAGTTCACCCAGAAATTCTGTCATCATTTACTCGCCCCATGTCCTTCCGAACCCATATGCGGTTTTATTCTGTGGAGATATTTTAAGACTCTTTGTGCAGCTACACTACCAATCAAAAATTTGTGGCCGGTTTTATTTTATGTTTTTGAAAGAGATCACTTATGCTCACCAAGGCTGCATTTATTTTATCAAAACTACAATAAATAATGTGAAATATTATTACAAATTAAAATAAAATACAATATTAATATATTTTAAAAAGTAATACATTCCTGTGATGGAAAACCTGAAATTTCAGCAGCCATTACTCCCTAATTACTGACCCTAAACTTTTGAATGGTAGTATATTATAATTAATGACACTAAAAAGAGCTATAGAAAATTGTATAAAAATAGTCCATAAGACATGAAGTCATACAACATCAAGTGTGAAACAATTATGGACAATTATTGAATGTTGCTTCAAACAATAAAGTAACAAATATAATTTGTGTCTAAAGAAGAAAACAAAGACAAACCAAATCACACACACATCAACAGCAAAAAATGCTCAAAATTGGGTGCTCAACAAAAAAATAAAAATCAAAAACAAAAAGTAGGCACACCATAATTAACCATAAACCATAATTAATAATGGACTTCACACAAGGTCCTAAAGAAGAAAGCCAATTTCACTCACTAAACACTGTATATAACCCTAAGTAACAATTTATAATTACATAAATTAAATATGTTAAAATTATCCTTGAATTTGGAAGCCGATGCAGGCTAGATGTAAGCTTTGGTGGCATCAATGAATAATGACTTGCAAATCTCATGCAAAGCTATCATATGACTTCAGAAGACTTGGAATATGACACACAAGTCATATAGACTACTTTTTATGCTGATTTTATGGTGTTCTTTTTAAAGTTTGGTCACTGAATTGTTATTATATGGCAAGAGCTGCACGAAGATTCTTCAACACATTCAATTGTGTTTTCTACTGAATATAACAGCATACAGGTTTGAAATGACAAGAAGATGATTAAATGATGACAGAATTTAACTATCCCTTGAACAGTTCACAAACCTGTGGTGGCGTCCCACTTTGAAGCATTTTTCTTTTTTCACAGCCCTCAGAAGTGTGATTTGAGTTAGTGTTTGCAGCATTTGTTAGAAGTGCAGCAGCTCAAGCGGTATGAATATATTTCTGCCAAGTCAGTCTGGATTAACGAGTGTTGAGGAGAGGGAGGGAAGAACCAGGAAAATAGGAAGGAGCAAAGAACCAGAGGGATGAAGGGATGACAGAGTGCGGGGGAACTTATGCAAATGATTACGGATTTGAAGGGAGAGAACGTGGTGCTAATGGCTGATCAGGGACTGAGACCGGACTAAAGATAGTACATCATGAAACTGAAGGCTCTCTGTTTCACAAAAGCATTTTAATGTATTTTTCACTGACTACACTTGATTCTCACCCAGTCCTTCAGACTTGACCGACAAGTCAAGAACTTCAAGTGATGTTCACCATTTTGTCACCGTGACAAACACTTGAAGTGGTTCTTCAGTTTCTCATAAATGCTTTAGATCTCATCATGTTAGTGCTATCTACAGTATACTATTATTGTGTTGTTGTTATTGCAGACTTTGCAGTCAAAGGCCTTTTGACACTTTTATTGACAGTACATTAGAGACAAAATGAAGGCGAAAAGATGGGGGAATCAGATCAAAACTCACACTGGCCGCATGAGCACCATGGCACGTGTCAAAAACCTGCACTATATAGTTCTGAAAGGATCATTAGTTTATGGTGGTTAGTGCTGGTTGGAAGTGTTCTATGCTTTGCTAAATACAGTTAAATAACATCAACACTGTTTTTGCATAATTTGCCAAATTTACTGGTTGTAACTGAAATTACACACAATAAAATAATTTTGATAATTGATTTTAACAGGTGTTAATTAAACTTAACACATCACGTCTCAAATTTCATGTCAAGCCTGTTTCTCACTTACACTGTTGTCTCCTTGGTAACCAAGTTAAATAATTTTTTAAAACAACCCTAATGGCGGCAGTGCAAAATATAAAAAAATTATAAGTAAAGTAAAAAATATAAAAAACATTTATAAAAAGCATTGCATTATGCTTCTTTCGTATTATAAATAAAATACAATACATCTTTAATATTTTTATAATGGATTTGCATAGTTTAAAAGAATCACCGAAAAACGAAAAACGTCATAAATGATTCACTCTCATGCCATTCACCATATTTAATATGAACTATGCACGTGCTGATCAATGTTCATAAAGTGAATAAAAGGCTAAATTATATCGGTTCATCATATAAAGCAATCATGTCTCTTCAGAACACCTGGATTACTGCATTTTCCAGAAAATAAGTTGCACCTGATCAAAAATGCATCGTTGAGAGAGAGAAAGAGAAAAAAAACAAACATACATGCACAAATAAAATAAAATACCAGTAAATAAAACAAAATGTTTACAAATATCAAACATTATATGTATTTTGTTCCCCTCATAAATCCTATAAATTTAATATTATTCAGAACAGGAATGAAAAATATAAGTATTAAAAAAAAACAAATTATAGTTGCATTCAATATAAACAACATTTATTGTAAATCCCTAGCCTAAATGAATTTATTTAAAACAAAACTGAAACTACCGGAATGTGGAAAAAGCGCTATACAATTCAACTTGGGCTCACATACCTCTCTTATTCAGCACAGATCCAAATGCGTGTGCTGTGCGCATGTTTTGTGAGCTTGACATTATATAAATTTATATAATGCTTTGGAATATAATTCACAACACATTTCAGTTATTTAAAAAAAATCGGACTTATATCCTGAAAAATATGGTAAACTACTCAACTCATATGAATTATGTTTACTGTGTTTTTTATTAACTTTTTGAAGTGTAAAAGTTTTGGGGTAATGAACGTTCAGTGGAGGAACAGAATTCTATCAGGTTTCATAAAAAATATCTTCATTTGTGTTATGAAGCTGAATGAAAGGCTTATGGGTTTGGAATGACATGAAAGTGTCAGTCATGACACTTTCATGTGGGAAGCAGATGTGGATTAATGGTTAGAGAGTCAGGCTTGTAACTCAAAGGTCGCAGGTTCGAGCCTCGGGACCGGCAGGAATTGTAGGTGGGGGGAGTGAATGTACAGCGCTCTCTTCCACCTTCAATAGCACGACCCTTGAACAGAACCCCCAACTGGTCCCCGGGTGCTGCAGTGAAAAATGGCTGCCTACTGCTCCAGGTGTGTGTTGTGTTTGTTCACTACTCACTACTTCACTTAAAAGTGAATAATTGATAACATTTAAGTTTTTGAGTGAACTAACCCTTTAAGATAAAAAGCTTGAGTCTGAGATAAACAAATACTTTATATTCATTGAATCAAAAGAATTTTAAAAAGCTCAAATCTATTAGTTTTAATAAAAATCAGCTGCTGGGTCAAGAAAAACCCACCTGTCTGAGCATCCACGGAGAAGTGCGGCTGCCCCTGAACCAGCGTGTACACCAGCCGCGCGCTGTTCCCATATGTGGGATCGTCTGCGTCTGAAGCCGTCACCTGGATGATGGAGGTCCCTGAGGAAGAGTTTCAGGGAGCGAGAGGGCAAAAAAGACAATAAGAGATGATCAATACAGCACATATGAACACAGGTCATCACAGGACAAGCACATTACGCGAAGAGACCCATATAAAGACTGACAGATTCTCCCCCTCTCTCCTCTCACTCGCCCTCCTGCTACAGTGTGACAAATGCAGTATTCACTTTCTCTTCTCCCCAGCCGCACACCTTCTTTCATTCACGCCTCTGTCTGTCTCACTTCATTTCTCTTCATCTCCTTCTCCAATTCCCCATTTGCTCCCTCTCTCAATCTCTATGCCTGTTTCTGTGGCCACACTCCCCTGTTCCCATAACTCCCTCACGTCTCAAATCTCTCTTTCGCTCCTGACAGATATGGACTTTTTTCCAACCAAATAAATCAAAGAGCTTCATGCGAAGGACCGAAGCTGTTTGAAAAGAACATATATATGTACAATGGAAAAAGAACTACATTTCCCATAGGGCAATGTCTGACAAGCTCAGAGGGACGAGGGGGGGGGGATTTGTGGGAGCAGCTGTTGCTGTTTTCAGACATCAAAAGCCTGACAGTGTCACCAAGAAAGCTTGTGGGTTGAGGGGAGGGTGCCGTCTGATTACAGATCTTTCGCAGGTAGTTAAGAAGCAGCAAATAGAAGACAGTAGGAGAACAAGAGCGAGAGAGAGATTGTCACTGTAAACGAATGATCAGATAGGCAGATCAAAAAACAGACGTGAATGCCGGGTTGACGCAACATGCAGCGGCTCAGAGAAATCTATTCATATTCAATCCGAGTGGAACTGAAGAAACACGCCACAATTTAGACTGATAACGCATTCACACTGATGGAATATTAGATTTGAATGGCGCTCTGGTTTCGTTTACCTCAGCAAGGGTTCGAGCATTCAGATGCAGCACAGAATATTTCTTGTTTGCACTTGGGATCCTTTGATATTAATTAAACCCATTTCAGGAAAACAAAAAGAGCACTACTGTCTAGGGGTAATATTTTGAGCCCGCCTCAAATGGATGTAAAATTGATAAACGTGAGAGGTTATTTCACATTTAAACACCGCAAATTATAGGGAGCATTTTCCTCAGCTTTTCATTCAATGATTTTTGGGACAGCATGAATCCTGCATTATTCAAAAATCACTGACATTCACCAAGAAAATGTGCTAGCGGGGATGAGCATATGTTGTCTTCCGCTACCTATGTTTGCCATCTCGGGTACTGTGGCGCTGTAGGGTCCTTCCTCGAAGACAGGTGGGTTGTCGTTGATATCCTGCACTCTAATGATGAACTGGGAGGAGGGCTCCAGGGCACGCTCTGTCTGACTGTCTGTTGCTGTGGCAATCAGCCGGTATTCATCCTTCTCCTCCCGATCCAAGGGCTTGGTTACGTGGATGTTGCCCGTCTTCTCGTCAATCACAAACACTGACCCCGCCCCCTCACCCCGCAGCACGTACTTAGTGCGTCCATCACCTCTGTCCATGTCAGTGTGAAGCTGATGAAGAGAAAATGAGAGGGAAAGGTTGAGACAGAAAGATTACAAGAGACTGAAGGGTTAAGAAAGACTAATATATATATATGCTGGGTAGATTGTAATCTGTTACTGATTCCAAATTACATAACAAAAATTGTAGCTAGTAACATAATCCATTACATTACACATTTTAGGTAATATAATCCACTTTTTGATTACTTTTAGATTACTTGTGACCCAACTCATCTATCACATTGATTGATAGATTGATATAAAAATACAAAGAGAATGAAAATATATTCCATTTGTTGTTATTAAGAACATTACGTCAAGTGTTTTTTTTAACTGTGGTTCATGAAGTAACTGCAAGGGGGTTGTGAGTTTAATGAAAAGCTAATAATTAATTAAATTATACACATTTTAAAGTAAAATCAATCGTTTTAAAATAACAACAATCAAAATGAAACGCTTACTAAAAAAAGATGAAATATTTCATTTGTTTACCTGCATGTCATGTGACCATTTACCAACATCAGAGAACCGTGAACATGCAAATGTGTAATTAACTTATAATTAACTCTCAGAGGGTACTTCAAGTAAATATATTAGATGAAAGAGGTTCCGCTGACAAAAAAGTTTGGGAATCCCTGTATTACACAAAAAAGAAATAACATGAATTTGTGCATTTAAATGTGTTTTAAAGACAAAAGACTTCCAAAGACAAAGACTTGTGTGAATAATATGTAATCCAGATTACATGCAATCAGTTACTACCCAGCACAGAGGTCAAAACACCATCAACTTTATGTGCATAAAGCAAAAACGGTAAAACAAAAGATTCATCTTAAAATATAGACTCCACTTTGACAGATGAGGACTTCAGGGGCTCATTGGCAGACAGTACAGATGGGCGGTAATGATCACACAGCCTTGCGTGAAACGCTCGTACTCTGGGCACTGATTGAGGGTGGAGTCTGGTTACCAGATCAGCGGCAGTCTACGGCTAAGGAGCCTTCATGCAGTGAGCAAAGCCTGGGCTGCATAGGGAGCGCATGACGCTCAGAGGGAAGAGTGTGGAGAAAGCATCAGCATTCATCCTCATTACTGCTTCTACGTGGCCAGAATACAGCTGCTTAAAAAGACGCCATAACAGCACAACTTCAACAAAAAGTGCCACACAGCAAGTTTGGAAGACAAATGGGAGCGTGTCCTGTCCTATGCATTCGAGTGTGGAAAGAGTTGAGTGTGTTCCATTCAAAATGGAGATTTTTTTGGAATCAGAATATTCAATGGCTTTTCTAGATTGAATTTTGAGAAAACATGTGGTTGTGTAGATGTAAATCCCCAAAGAATGTCCTGACACTCGGTGGGCAGTGATGAGGAAAACTCTTAAGAAAGCACATTGTGCTCAGTGATACACATTCTTGTGTACGATAGCCAGGCGCAATGCAACAAGTTGGCAAACGATAAAACAGTTTTTCCATGTCAAGAGGTGCTCACATTGAGGTCTCCAGGTCACTGTACTGTTGGTTGCAAGTAGGCGTTCCTACTCAGATAGCAGTATCACACAGCTTTTCTCAGCATGTTCATATGTAGTTTAAGGTTCAACTGCAGTCAAAGTAAAGCAATAACTTTAACATATCATGTAAACGCTTTACACAGAGTGAAATTGTACTAGTCTGATTTTTGGACCAACAGATCAAGAATGTGTGATTTTAGCTTTACCTTATGCAGCATGTATTTTATCAATATTCATAATAATAAATATTAATATTTCTCAATAATATTAAAAAAGTTATTATATATTATTAATATTATCATTATAAAATTATATTATCTGTATTTATATTTATTAATATAATTACTAATCAGCTTTTCTTCAGGCCAATAAGAAAATAAATAAATATTTGCTTTCATAAATAAATAGTCTTTACATTAATACAGCATTTTACTGAATAGTTTCGCTCAAAGCATTTTGAATGAGTGGAGTGGATCTACACAATCAGCATCTACCTGGATAATGCAACAGCAGCCTTATTGTGCCAGAACTCCCACCACACACCAGTTATCAGTGGAGAGGCGACAGTGTGAAGTAGCCAATTATATGGATGATTAGGAGGCCATGATGGAGTGAGGCCAATCTGACGAGGGCGCACGGGTTACATACCTACTCTTTTGAAAAAGCACCCTGAGATTTTTAATGACCACCAGCAGTCAAAACCTTGGTGTAGTCCCTGTTTATACCTGGTATTAAATCCGTTTTGGGTTATCTGATGACAACTGGTCAGCTGAGACAAAGTCACTACAGGGTCTTTGATTTCAGGGCTACACTTAGTAAGTCAAGATGATTCTACATGTTAACAAGTGCAAAAAGGCACAAGAAGTCATCACATTATTGCTTATTGCACATTATACTAAATATACTTTATATATACAAATCTACTGCAAACATGCTGTTTTGAATAAAATGCTCATTGTTATTTTAGCTCCTATATAAAGTGTTTTTTTTTTTTTTTTGATGAACTTCAGATTATCTGCGTCATGCTGATGTAAATCAAAGACATTCCACATCTATTTACTAATACTAATATACAGACATTTTTGGGGAAACCAATTTTTTCAGGATTCTTTGATTAATAGAAATTTCCAAAGAACAGCAATTATTTTAAACAGAAATCTTTTTCTAACATTATGTCTTCACTCTCACTTTTCATTATCAATTTAATGCATCCTTGCTGAATAAAAGTATTTATTTCTTTAAAGGGGTCCTATTATGCTTTTACAAAGTCTTGATTTTGTTTTGGGGGTGTACTAGAACAGGCTCTCATACTAGGTTGTTCGAAAAACACATTATTTTTCACATATTTTACATTATTACAACACCTCTCTCCCCAGTCTGGCATGAACGGCTCGAATAGTTTCTGTATCCCATGAAGGCCCACCTTCTGAAATACGAAATGTGCTGTGATTGGTTAGCTGGGCCAGTGTGTGTTGTGATTGGCAGCACTCTGCAACTGGTCAGGAAATGTCATGCCCCTTACCATAGCCGTCTGCGAGCTTCAGTGTAAATATTGCGTCAAAATCAAATAAATTTGAGCGCGATTTAAACCCAGATGATTGTAACCACTCTAAGTTCATCTGCCTGACTTTGAGCTTTGTAACTTTGCAGTTCTTTTTTATGCTCAAACAGCAACATTACAGACTAACTAAAGTTGAAAAAGTGAAAAAGCATAATAGGACCTTTTGAATGGTAGTATCCATGTAAATGTTTGTTGTAACCCTCTATGAATACAAATGAGATCAGGCAGGTAAATATGTGCTATTTGCTAAGTCACAAAACGTTTTGGACCCCACACCTGTATTTAGCACTGACCATTTGTGATCAGATCGCTCGAAATGGATGTTAATGCCAGGTGTTAGTCAGTACCTCAGCTTCAGTTGGTAATCAGTCGAGGGAACTACGTGTCTTCCAGTCCAGGTGTCGAGTGTTGTTGCTAGTGAGAGCAGGCAGCCATGAAGCCGTTGCTGTGTTGTGGCTTTGGAATTCCTGATTCCATCCCATAATTCCGCCTTGAGCTCTCGGTCAGTCAAGTCTGCCAGCAGTTTGCCGTTCCAAGCCTGGGGTTCTTAACGAAGGGCCTTAATGACCTGCCTTAACGACAGGACTTAACGAGGCCGTTAATGAAGCTGCCGCTATCGTTAAGGCTGACGATGGCGGGATGATGAAAGACGCAGAGAATCCCCTCTGTGTAGTCATGGAGAATGAGAGGAGCGTGTCCTTTTGTCCCTGGCATTGACCTGATCGACGTGACCTCCGCCGACACTCCTTGTGATTTACACGTCCAATAACACTGATGTAGTGACACAGCTCAAAACAAACACACACAAGGACTCAAGGACAGACACACAGCGTGATGCACAACTGCACACACACTCTGCCAAGCGGATGCCTGACCACATTAGAGAAAAAAAAAAAGCATGAATTTAAACAGTCGCACCATTATTGGCCCTACCGAGATTAGAATATCGGTACTAAATGAGGTCTAATATCTACACAGCTGAACCTGGCTGACACCTTAATAAAGGATTTATCAGAGGCAGTTGATTTTGAAAACAAGACATTTTGAAAAGCAACTGAATTATACATGAAATTGCATCAAAAAGGTCTAATGTATGCACTGACATCCAGCTGACCATAATATGCATTCAAATTAGCCATCTAAATTCCTGCCAGACATCCTGTTTCAAGGACAGATTCTCGGCTTCCTTTGTATACATGGGCATTATCATTAGGCCTCTAAATCAACTAAATTACTCATATTATAAAGTAATGTTCTTATACTCATATAGTCAATTTCATATTTTTGCAATAACCATAAATCATGAACTGTGGGAAAAAATATTCAGTGTCAACCTCTAAATCACTTAAATAACTTATTCGGGTATACTCAATTTCACATTCCTGCAGCACAATAAATCATAAAACATTGAGAGAGGGGGAAAAAATGCATTTTGCATCTGTGCATTAACCTAATGAATGTGTTTTCCTGGGCAGATTTATTTAGCGCCCCGCGAGTTGGGAGAAACAGTGTTTGAGAAAATGGCACTTCAGCCATCATGTGAAATGGGTTTTGACTGCTCTAAACAGCAATGCGGTGGCCTGGATAGCGAGAGGCCATCTACACACATAACCATTACAGAAACACACACTCCGATACACACAGATCTCAGCGTGTTATGAGTTTCAATCCCCCTTAGCCACCAGGGAATCTTATCAAAGGCTTTAAGGCTGATGGGAGAGAATCTCCGGCTCCTTCACGTCTGAGCGAGGAAGATGAAGCTTGCGCGCTTCTCCTCTAACGGCATTGAGATGCGTTACTTTAAAAGTGATGCATTACTTTACTCTTAATACAAGTAACTAATTCTGTCAATTGGTTCATCCAACAGTAGAGTTTTTTTCTTCATCATCATCATTATTATGATTATTATTATAAGGTGGTACTTTTGCTTTGAACCATTTA